GGCAAAGACTGGCGTGGACGCGCGGGCACGGTGAGGCCTGACCCTAGTGGCCGCAGTGGACGCGCAGGCCTTGCAGACCAAAGGCGCCATGCGTCAGCGGCTGCTTTTAGGCTCCAAGTGTCTGCTAGGGGCCACTACACACCTGCCTTGTTTTTTCAAAACTTCTGTGTCTCCAGAACAACCTAATTTCTGCTGCATGCTTTTTAGAGCCTCATCCTGATCATGCAAAAGAAGGCGGCCTGGGAGCATGAGGAGTGTGGATCGGAGGTCGCGGAGTTCATGCGCAAGACCTCCACCATGCCGCGAGACCGCGACCATAGAGCCATTCTAGTCGCACCCAGTGAACAGACCTGCACCTATTGGATGGATGGATTCTGCTACCTCAAAAAGTACAATGTACGTTCGTCTTACAAAATTAGAGCGAGTTTAAAGAGAGGGGAAATTGCATAATAACGATGCATGTAAATTAGCTGGTCTTTCATGCGCTCCGCAAGCACTGAAGTTCACCAACCAGGGTAACATTAGATGCCCTAGCTGCTAGTCCTGTCGTTACTTTTACTTTTGTTAGTTTTACTTTAGTTTAGTCTTTAGTTTATTAGTTAGTTTATCAGCTTACTTTTAGTTGTATTTAGTGTTTAGTTTAGGTAGATACCGCCAAAGTCGGGTAACTATACTTAAGTGATTACTACTAAGACAGCAACTCCTGGAAAACTAAGTTTGCTATTAGTTTGAAAGCGTAAACCTGAGAATCGTCCAGAAGGATTATTTGAATATGTATCTCAGAAAACCTCTGTTACAGTCCCATGCCATGGTAAAAACAACGTGAAAGATCTGTCACGGCAGATCAATTCATAGGGCGAACCCAGCAACTACGACCTTAAGCCCGAATATGAACACAAAATTAGACGTCGAATGAGAGAATATTCTACTCCGGACAGAAAAATTTAAAGAACGTTTGGAATAAGTTGGCTACCAGCCGAGCGTTCACAGCTGGTATCGCGTTAGCCGGTGTCACGAATAGAAGATGTGACCCCTGGGACAAAACTTTTTTTCATTTGACCTTCCGAAATCCATCGCGGATCCCTCATCAGAGACATTAGCAGACACGGATAATTTATGCATAGGGAGTTGCAGCGTTTATAGGATACAGTCACGATGTCACTGCACTCTTATGAAAGATAGTATTGCCAGAAAAGAGAAGGCAGACTGGAATGGCTATGTCTGGCTTATTAGCCATCGTCAGCCAGTCATACCCATCACCAATTGATGCACCACTCGGGGATCGAGCTCGCAACCGTTTCGATCAGAGTCTAACGCTCTGACTATTGAGCCACATACTCGTTGTCCCGCCGCCTTAGGTCGGGAGATATTCACATTCGTTGGTGAAAGTTCACCGACCGCTAATGTGACTTACTTCTCCAGCTCTGCCTTCAGCCTCATTTCCCGGGCCCCGACATAAGCGGATAGTATTGCCGACAAAGGCAAGGAGACTGACATGGCCATTTCTAACCACTACAGCGTAAGGCTCCTTTCAAGAGGTTGCGATTTTGAGCTTCGGGCGGTGTACCACTTAGGGTTGGGTATGACTAGCTGATGACGCCTAATAGGCCAGAAATAGTCATTCTAATTTCCCCCACGCTCTTGCCAGCAATAGTATCTGCCTATGCTACTAAATGCTATAGCTGGTGTGAAGGTCCGAGTAATGAGGCCCAAGGCAAAAGCGGATCGGGACCAATGAATACCCTTAGCGATGGGTAGGCGTTCATCAACTTATGTAAAACGATTTTTAACTTACTTCCTGGTTATAAAGCTTACAGTATGGTGAGTGCTGCAAGAAACATACCGCAATTTTAAAAAAACCGGTAATCACTCGCAAATCAACATTGAATAGGGTTGCAATACTGTTTATCACGCAGTCCAATTTCAATTATTTGCAGTCACACTAGGATGCCGACTCTGTGATGAGCCTCTTTGTGACCGCTGCGAAAAAGTTGATTCTGCAGAAAATGGCTACTTAAATAGCATGCATTTTTATCATTGATTTTGCCTGCCTTTATAAACGCAAATATATTTTATGGAAAGCATGCACGAAAAAATCCTCTCTTGTACTTAGTTGATGGGAAATACCACCTTCTTACCACCTTCTTAAAGGAAGGTTTTCCTTGGGTTTAAAAAATTCTAATTTTTAGTTTTTTTACGACTGTGCGGTGTTCATTCCCAATAGATCACGTACGTCAATTTGTTAATACTGCCCCTGATATATACAGCTTAATTCATGCCTGATGCGAAATTGTATCAGAGCTATGCAACCACTTCCTCAATCCATAGGCAAGAACGTACTTTTCCTTATACAGGATGAAAAAAGCCTTCAGTTTGTAAAAATTCAATTCAGTTGTAGCAGTCGGTAGGTTTCAAAATCACTGGGCAATTTAGAAACTTTTTTAAAACCGAAGGAAAACCTTCCTTTTAGAATTAAATTTAAAGAAAGCGGTATTTCTTATCAACTAAGTACAAGAGGGGATTTTTTTCATGCATGCTTTCCATTATATAATTTGCATTTATAGAGGCTGTCAAAAGCAATGATAAAAATGCATACTATTTAAGTAGCCATTTTCTGCAGAATCAAATTTTTTGTAGCAGTCACAAAGAGGCTCATCACAGAGTCAGCATCCTAGTGTGACAGCAAATAATTGAAATTGGACTGCATGCTAAATAGTATTGCAATTCCATTCAGTGTTGTTTTGCGAGTGATTACCGGTCTTTTTAAAATTGTGAAATGTTTCTTGCAGCACTTGCCATATTGTATATTTTAATAGTCTACAATAGTAATTACTTCAAAGTTCAGAAGAATTTGCCGTGATTGCCCGGACGAAAACTTGCTTTACCTCCATCCTCGCATTTCAGCTCGAACCCCCATTAAGGAACATTAGTAGAAAAGGGTTATTCGTCCAACGGGGATAAAAGTACTTATAGGGCACAATCGCTGGGCTACTGCGTACTTACACCAAGGTTGATTGCGATCTGGTGCGCTAATTGTTTAATGGCCGATATACGGGTCGTTATCCGTTAGTTAGACTACACCCGTTGGCCTTCACAGATTATACGAGAGTTTTACTGAATATCGATAGTGCGTTTACTAATTGATGCACACACTATCGAGCTTAGGGGACGAATGCAAGCCTGCATGCTCACCTCCCAAGGGTGACGATACACTTTGAGATTTGTAAGGGCTCCCTCCGCCGCGTAGAGAGTCTCTACCAAAGTATAGCACAAAGAACAGAATGGCCTTTGTTCAAGTTATAACTTCCTTCTTTACAATGCTGCTCCGGCGGCCTTACCGGATTAATTCCACAGTCTGCAGCACGAACAAAATGCAACCTAAGTTTTAACTAGTTTTCAGTTCACGTTCTATCTGACTGCTTTTTCCCCTTAGCGCGAGAGTGAATGCTTTGCGGAGGACCTGAACAACTTGGTGCAACTGGAATTAAGGATGCGCCTTCTGGGTCTGGACTGGTCGGCCGTGCCCACGACTCCCATTCCACCTCCGTCCACTTATCCTGACACATCGACTCTGCCCTTTTGAATGCTGTGATATACCTAGGCTCACTGACTGTTTTTTTAGTCAAACCCTTATTTTCTTCCTCTTTTTGCCAAAATAATGGTATGCTTTTTATCTGAGTGTTTAAATCCGTCGATAACATTGGTCAGAAGGCGATTTACTATGTAGGTACCATCCGATGCCCCAACAAGCAGTTTCAGAATTCCTACTTTAATAGAACCAATATAGGCGGTCCCATTTTAAAGCAGTTATACCGTCTCACACAAACAATGACAAACTCAGTTAAACTCGAGGTCCGTTACATATTTTGCTGCATATTTTTTAAATATTGCCGCAGAGATTGATTCAGAAATTGGGTCAGTTCATTATATTCAACCGTCGATAGACACAGAACACTATTTCATTTTTATATTTGGGCCAAAATATGTTAGATTCGCCATTTTTACGGTGCCAATTTCAATGCGGGATAGAAGACAGACAGGATAGCAGAGAATAACTTTACTGTGGCAGTTACCGTGTATGAATCATGCTTCCCAGTCCTGATGTCCGCGGCGGCGTCGTAATTAAGGACTAGTTCATTTGTCCGGTATGTTTGCTCTTATTGGTCCATCCATACGTGCCTTCCCAGGTAGACCCTCGTGTGGTGTCAGCCTCCTAAAGACCGCGAATAACTTGCAGCGTAATTTCCGGAGTTGGTAGTTCTTTGCTAAGCCTGAAGGCCGGATGGCAAGCATGGGCACTCATGTTGTGAGCCGTCCCCACAAAGTCTATCAACTACTGCGAGCTCATGGCGTAATATCCACAAGCTGCTAACAGACAGTCAGTAGTATAACTTTTGTAATTTTTTTTACCATACTGGCAGCCATAGTACCAACTCCAAACTGGGGCGCTTGTTTCGCCGATATTCTGCTCCTGCATGGCACATATTCTACTTGACGTCGCAGGAAGTCGCCGTAGACTTTACCAAGGAGATCTTTCTCGAAAGCTATAAATGCTCTTTTCACAGTGTGCGGTATTCACGTAGCTTTGTTTGCACCCCTGATGCATTGCAATTTCGTCTTAAGATTCCTCTGTATCCAACCATCTAGGTCCTTCTGCCAGCTTTCAATGGCATTTAAGTATCGTTCAGGTGATATGTCCTCATGTTGTAATTTGAACGGGAAGTTAATTGGACGCAGTGGGAGGACAGTGCACTTCTGCAAAACCGCTCGGAAACTTCTGCTGTCTGTGCAGAATAACCGGCGAGAATGATTAGTGAGGCCTAACAAATATGCTCGACTTATAATGAAAAACGATTTCCCTCTATTCACTAGGCATACTTTTTACCATTTTTAAAGAGTATTACTAACCCCCACTGGACCACCGGCGAGCGCGTGTAAGTTGGGTGGTGTCTGCTGACCTCGGGTGAGGTCACTGAAGGTCAGGGCATGTAACATGGAACGTGTTCGCTGACTTCGGGTGAAGGTGAGCACTTGCAAGATGAGGGCGTGGTAGGTGACCTCGGGTGAGGTCAATGAGACGCATGTTTAATATTACAAACCCCAATTGGAACAACGGTGAGCGCGCGTAAGTGGGAGCGGGTGTCCACATACTTTGGGCAAGGTCACTGAGACAATGTTTAGGGGGAACGGTGAAACGTGCGAGTCGAATGAGGACGAAAACTGGCGCTCGCTTGTTGGGGTTCCAATTAGCTCGCAATCAAGGCATCAACCAGGATGGGTACATCCTGAAATAGATTGGTGTACAGTGACCCACTACTATATAGACCTGATCACAAACCGACAACACGGCGGACCCGTGGTTCAAGAATTAGAGCGTTCGCCCCTGGTCGGAGAGCCGCGATTTCGAAGCTCGGGTGAGGCGGCAATTTCCTCTGCTACACTGGAGTTGAGCTACCACCACTCGATGACGCCTAATGAGGCAAAAAAGCACTTCATGGATGTGCTCTATGTTTGTCAGTAAAATACCATTATCAAACAATGCTTAATGTTATAACGGATAGTGCGATTGAGACAAATAGGAAAGAAACTGTATAGGTTGTGATAGCGATTGTTGTAAACGGTCACTTTGTTACCCAGAGAAAAGGTTGACAGGATTATGCTATCTAAGGAGGAGAGTATGTGAATTTTCCAGGCATAATATCCCAGACTTCACAATTACTTCGTTACTTATTGTCAGACAGGTCATCGGATCCCCGAAGAATAGTCGAATGTTCCGTAAGAGCAAGGCTTGACCTAATACCGGTTTTATAAAATGCGGGAGGGAACGACGCCGTTTCTAAGTGTCTCGCATCGCTAAGTTGATAATAAAGAGCGTCCCTAAGGGCCATGTCATCTGGCAAACTCTTACATATATTTCCGCGGCAAAGGTCAGTTAACGTCATAGGGCATTTCTTTAAGCAATTCCAATAAGAGGAAAGAAAAAACCAACACCCTTAAAAACTTTATTGAGAAATTTGGCCCCGACTCTGGCTGATTTTCCTTTTATGAAAAGTGTAAATAAGGCGATAGAGAGTTTCAGAATGCCCCTTTAAGACGAAACTCTAATAGGTTACCCTCTTTGCTTACTGGAGAACATGATTATTACCCGCGATAAGACACAGACCATCAGAACGAATTAGTGCATGTGGAATAGGCGGTCGTTAGAGATTTGGCATTAAGTTAACTTGCGATTAACACATACAAGCTGGCTA